AACATATGTTTATAATAAATATTTGATAAATAAATAAATTTTATAATTCAAGATAATCAGAAATATTTTTAAAAATGGCATTTTACTTTATATAATTACAAAGGAGAATCAAGTGATAATAGATTACATTTGCCATTAGCATTAAGGTACTAAAAAAATTATTGTTTTATTTTTACATATACATATATAATTAATTAGCTAAACAAATTTAATAGCAAATTATAATTTCAAAAATAAAAATTAAGGATATATAATTTTTTTCAAATTAAAAATATATAAATACATAACTTAAGCTAATAAAAATATAATATTCAATTATATTATAAAAATAATTTTATTATATTAAAAATATATAGAAAATTTAGAAATACGAGTATCTAATTTTATTCAAAAGAGTAAAAGAAGAAAACGTATATGAAATGCATTATTGGAATTACAAGTTTACAAATTATAATTTTAATAATAAATAATTTATCTAAATTGCAGATCAGTTTTGAATTTGACCTTTATTCAAATTATTAAGAATTTAATTAAGTATTTATTGTGAATAATGTTTTTGATATCCGATTTATCTGTTTCCATTTTTTCCTGCTTTTCTAGTCTTGGACCGATATAAACTAGTCTAATAAAAACATTGGTCAAAAGATAGCTGTCGATTCTTCACACCAACAAGTCAACAACCATGACTGTTTTGTATTGTAAGACAAACAATTGAATAGAACCCGAATAAAAAATGATTATAAGAGTTTGTTTATTGTGCATAATAAACTGGGGTCTATAATTATTAAAAAAATACTATCTCCTATATATTAATTGAAAAACATTTTTATAGAGTAACTTCATTTTTGTAAGTATTTATAATGATGTCATTATGCTGATGTGTCAATCCTACATTTATTCTCAGCTAATATTTTTAAAAAGACTTAGATTACTAGACTAATTACATGATAGGTCATTGTATATTTTACGTCCATAAATATGTTATGTTTAAAAAAAAAAATTCAAAGGAAATAATATTAAAATTAATAATTTAATAAAATAAAATTGTTTAATACTAATTACAATATACACGAAATTTATTATATTATATTTTTAAAATATTATTAAAATATATAATATTTTTTAATGTTTACTATTTTTATCATACATAGCAAAATAGATAATACTTTTTAATGTTTACTACTTTTTTAAAAAATATGTTTATTGATTATTCATAAAAAATATTTTTATAAAACAACTGAAAAATTAAAAATAATATTTTATTTTTCTCAAATTCATAACACAATATATAACACTTTACTAGTGTTTACTAATTTTATTAAAAAGATATTTATTAATTTTTTATTAAAAATATTCTTATATTACAATAGAATAATTAATAATAATATTTTATTTTTCTCAAAAATTAATCAGAACAAATAAAAAAAAATCATAATAATTTTATTCACATATTGTTGTAATTATAGCATGCATGAAAATAATTGTGAAAACATATATAATACATCAAACTAAATATTTTTAAGTGTATATTTTTTTACAATTCATAATGATGAATTTCCAAAATTATGATGATATATATTATTAATATTCGGATTTACTATATAAGGAAATATGATTTGCATTATGGTTTAATTTATATATAACTCTTAAATGACAAATATGGTATATGACATTATTGCTTACTTTTTTTGGTAAGAGATCATAACATGATAATACCAATATTAATTGTTTATTTTTTAAATAATGTTTGATTTATCATATACAATATCAAATTCTCAGCAAGATTTGTTCATGTTTTTTTCCCTTTAGTTTGTCGGCTTTAAACCTATCTATTTAATTACTGTAAAAATTCTATACATTGATAATATTATGATTTCAATATTTTATTAATTTATAGAATTATAAATTTATCGGTTTAAAATTAAATAAATTATTTATTAATAAGTAATTAAAAATTATATTTGTTTTAAAAATTAATGATATCTTTACATATTTTACTTTAAATTGTAGACAAACGATAACATTATTTCAATTTTAAGAAAAACAAATCATTATATATTCATATTTTAGTAAGTTATCATAGTTATATATTTATATAAGATTATATTATGGTAATAATTAATTTATGATATTAATGGAACCATATATTTATGTAGATTTTCCTAAAAAATATATTATCTTCTCGATTTGTATCATATTTTGAACAAGTCCAATTTGGGACTAGGAAATTTTATTTATTTATTTAACTAATAATATGTAATAGATAAGTAACAAACTATTTAACTAATAATCTTTAATCATTTAAGAGTCAAAAATAATTAAATATATACATAAACAAGAAAAGCGCTCTTAGTTCAGTTCGGTAGAACGTGGGTCGCACGCATTAGAAATATTTAGTATTATTATTATTAAATAATGTATACCTAAATCTTATATATTAGTAAAAATAATGAATCATATCATCAATCACGGGATATAGAAAATTTGTATAGTAACTTTGTATTTCTACCGAACTATATCATGTGCTATGCATGCTACTTAATTTTTAAATTAATTTAAATTAATTTACATTACAATTAAATTATCTTATATTTTATAAAATAATAAAATATATTGTCAATTTTTTTTGAACTGTATATTATTGTCAATGTTATAATATAATATTATATATAATTTATATAAATTTAATTATATTATATTATATGATTTTAAAATTATATTAAATCTAAATAAATAATAATTATTTCACCCTGCACATCACATTAAATTAGAAACAACCTTTAATGTATTAATAATTGATATTATATATATATATATATATGTGTGTGAGAAAAATATAACTAAACAACAAAACGATTATAAATCATCATTGCTTTTATAGTGAATGATTGGGAAGAGAAAAATAGAAACAGAATTGTTTCAAGTTTCAAATATAAGATTTTCTGTAACGACGAAACAAATGCAACAGAAATGGTAAATTTCGTGGAATGGCGGAATGGCGAAAAAACGTGATTCCGCAAGAATTTTGCCAATCAGAAAAACTTGCGGAAAATTGTCAAAACTCGAGTTCTGCAGAATGACGGAAATACTTACAAAAAATACAAAAAAAATTTGATTAAGTGAAAAGTGTGTTTCAAGTAGTTTATTTGCGGAATCAATATTTTATATCATTTAATTATATAATTAATTATATTTTATTATTTAAATAAATATATTTTAATTGCATATATTTATATAATGATCAGATTATATTTGTAGATAAAATTTTGTAATATATTTATATATTTTATAGTTATACAAATAAAAATAAAAATAAAAATAAATAATTACAATAAAAGTTTTAAGTTTTTCTAGTTATATTAAAATTATGTTTTTTATAATAATTATTATTTTAATGTTTATTATATCAAATTATATATAAAATATATTATTATGAAAAATTAATTTTATATATTTCTGTCATTCCACCATTCTGCCATTCTGCATAATTTATCCAATCATAATAAAGTCATCAAATATACTATTCTGCATTCCGCTATTCTGCAGCTTAATTTTTTCCGCCATTTTACAGTTTAAAACTGTGTTACCAATCAGAATTAAATATATTTGATGACTTTTTAGAAAGATGGTGAACTGCGTACGACCGTCGAAAGTTGGTCAGTAAAGTGCCTTTGAATATCGGTCACTCTCACATGCCGGCGGTATGCAACGCTCTAAACAGTTGACTTTTTTTCCACCCCTGAAAACAGGTCAAAGTTAGAAAAGATGCTGTCACACACAACACATTATAATATCCCAAACGAACTCGACCAAAAAAAAATATCCCAAACGAATGCACAAGTTGTTACTTAAAAAATGTGCAAAAAGTCGGTCTAGCTAGTACAAATGTTTAATGCTAATGCGTGTTTTTTTTGGGTCACATTTTACTTACTGCTTAGCTGTTCGTTTTTTTCATTTAAGTCATGAAGATTCTACTCGTTCTTCAATTTTGCACCAGAATTCGCTATGGCTTGGATCTTGAAAAACTAGACAGAATTGAATTAAAGCAATAATATTAAATTGAATTGATAGATGTTTAAATTAATGGATGTTTAAAAAAATATACAGTATGTTTTAAAAAGATAGATTGTTTCAAGGTTCTATGTACTTTACTGATGGTGAATTATAAACTTGAAGACAAATAATTAATTTTGAATTACTATTGGTTTATAGTTATACAAAATTGATAATCATAAAAAATGATGCATTTATAATCAAATATTAAACTTTTTTTTAATAAGGTATGATTTTTATAAAATATCTATTAATTTTAAACAGATGGAGAATTACTCTAAATTCAGAGTAACATATTCACTTTCTATTTTTAAAGTGAAACTCTAGCGAAAAACTCTAGCTACCATATGGTTGACCTCTTTGACATTAATATATCACGCCTTGAGCACATACTATGCCACTAAACTGCTGTGACACTAAGCCAAATAGCTCGACTGACATACCACTTATCATGCCACTTAAGTGCTGGAAAATGTATAAAGTAATTTAATTACTCGATACAGTATAATCTAAAGTAATCTAGTACTCCAAGAAGACGAGACAAAACCTTAATCCGGACATCAACCATCAAGCTTCTAGTCGTTAAGTACTACTCTCCTAAATCCAAGAAAAAAAAGGAAAGGGGGGGGTGGAGAAAGAGAAGGAAGTAGAGATCGAATTAATAAAAGAGTTATTAACGGAAAAGAGCACTTTGGCTTTAGTTATTTCAGTAAAAGGCACTACCAACAATTAGAGTATTTCTAATTGATGAAATGACAAATATACATTTACCTTATTTTTTTGTGTAAAATTTATGTATAATATTTTACAGATGTAAAAACTAACAAATTTACTGGATCAGAGGATAGATCTGAAATCATTACTACGGTGTAGACGAAACCTATATGCGCATCGTGACGGCGGATCCATAATCGATTTCGAAGATCCCTTTGTGTTTGGTGTTGGTGATGACGACGGTGGAACCTGTAGATCCGAGTAATCTATAATTTTTTGTTATGACTTGTTTCCGATTCTCAAGTACTGAAGTTACCGGATTTATGTTTGGGGGCGAATCTCTAATTGTTTCGATCTTGTTTCGATGTTGCAGAAGTTGACGGGAATCATACTCCTGACGCGAAGTTGCCGCCACGGTTGTTTGCGACGGATCGGTTCCCTCGTGCGAGGGTTAATATCTACTCAAAACCAGACTTGCTTACCACTATTCATGAGATACTCGGCGATTCACCGGAGTTCGACTTCATCCGCTCTACGTGCCTTGGGGTCTTATTTGATTTCCCGGCGAGCTTATGCCAAAACTCCGAGAAGCTCGTCCACGCAATGTTGACGAGACAGCTGTTTTCCAAGAATAAGTACAACATGTGGATGGTATACGGTGGACATCCCTTAAGATTCAATCTTTCTGATTTTGGTAGGGTATATGGACTCCCGTGTAGAGACTATCCCGAGAACTATGACCCAAATTTGATGGAGAAACACCCACGGGAGCCAGACGCTTTATGGAGGGAGATAATTGGGGACTCAATTCACACTACAATTGGAGACTTAGTCGATGAGCTGAGAGCGAATCCAGAGATGCCACCGAAGAGAAGGATACAGCTGGTGCTTATTACGATAGTTGACGGCGTCCTCATTGCGAGTGCGGCGATCCACAGACCTACCCCGAAATACTTTAGGATGCTCGATGACATGGAGTCGTTTCTGAGATTTCCTTGGGGGAGAGTCTTTCTTCCGCACTATTATCACGCTGAGGCCATTGAGCAATGGTAAAAATGATGATCCTAACAAGGTGTTCTGTGATCAACTATTGACGGGATCAATGCGGGTGACGGGCTTCCCACTGATTCTTCAGATGGTTGCATATAGAGCGATATCTCTTATAGCTGCGAAACTACCTAATATATCGGACGAAACTCCGTTGTTGGAAATTAGCAGTGAGGACATCCCCAGACATAGACCCATTTCGATGGATGATATAATCGAAGTGGAGAACGATCCCAAGGTGAGCTAGTTGGTTAAGTTTAACTTTTATTTGTTGAGATCATACATCGTTTGCAGTCGGCGACGTACACGCTGAAGCATACTATGGTTTTATATTGTATATGAGTTTTGCAACGTCTATGCTTAGTCATCCATTTTCGTGCATCCATTTTTGATATCGACTGTGTCTGTTTATTTACAATCCACGTTGTTGTTCGTTCGCGCTGGACCATCCATAAAATGTAGTCTATTGCATTGTATCCATAGTTCAGAGTCCACTGTATTTCTAGCTTGAACGCTTATTAGTTTGATCTTATGGGTATGTTAGAGTGTCTGACTATATTTCCTGCAGCTAATTGTGCAGCCAATGATAGAGGTTGGAGAAAAGGGAGAACCGGCGGAGGAAGGGTGGGGAAGTGGGATAACGAGGTCAGAGATAGGAGGGTGAAGTACCTAAAGAGGAAGCTAAAGGAAGGACACGTATTTGGGAAGAGCGAATGGTGGGGTGGCAACGACACGCAACCACTAATCGTTGTGAATGAAGCTATTCCCAAAGGCGAACACATTAAACATGTCCATGATTGGAGGAGGGTTAAGAGGAGCAAGCCCGCCGCGTCTAAACTTGGTGTCCGAGACATGCCTTCCATGTCGAAGGCATCTTCATCTGGCGGAAGTAGGCGTCAGGACAGTGTTTCGACAGAGAGTCAATTGGAGTGGCTGATGGCGGAGAAGAAAGAGAGGTGTGAAGAAATTAAAAAACTGCAGCAACAGCAACATGAGATGATGAGGATTTTGAAGGGCAGAGGAGCTGTTGACACGAGACAACGTTTATCACAGCTTAGGAAGATGCAAAACTGCAGGCGCAGGAAACAATCGAAGAAAAAAAATGAGGTAATTCGATAGTGTGTATACGGGGAGCATCATCCATATTTGCATGTGGTTAAGGTCGTATGTTATTCGTTATGTGATTGTCTTTGTTGTCTGTGGACGAAGTTGGTTGGATGGTTCTTACCCGTTAATAATCCATAGTTTTCAATCCATAATGTTATTTGACTGTGGATGAGTTTGGGTGTTTTCGATCCATATGGTTTTCGGAAATTTGATAGGACAATTCTAATAATAAGCATTGAATATGCCTATTTTTCTTGTGCAGACCGATGATGGAGACAGAAACATGGCATCACTCTCTTTTGAGGTTAGTTTGAAAGAAGGCAGTGAGTTGCCCCGCGATTGGATGGAGGAGTCTAACCTATCTCCGGAGAAGGTAGAAGATAGGTCACAGGAAAACGGCAAGATGGATGGATTGCTAAGTCCGGTTGGGAAAAAAGAGGGTGCGTTGAAGAGAAAGAGGAGCATTTCTCCGTCCGGGGATGAGAGGGAAGAGAAAGAAGAGTTAAAGATGGGTGATGAGGTAAGTTATTATCGTTTTTTCGATTGTCTATTATAAACTCGCATATTATCATCGACCTGACAAATATGAACAACCCAAGATTGAGGTAGGTATGGGAGGAAGTGCCGTGGGGGAGGAATCAAAGGCAATTGACTATAGAGACGAGGCATTACAGACGTCTGATGGGGAGGCTGCAGTAAATATGGTAACACTCATATCCTCGTTCATAAGCTTATAATTTTCCTTTGGTGCCTGAATGGTAGCGATTAACTTCGGTTAGTTACCATCACCGTCCACGCGAGACCGTCCACGCGAGACCGTCCTCGTGAGACCGTCTATGTGGGATCTTATCCATAAGTTGTTGCATATTCTAATAACATTTGCAATTGTAGGAAATTTCTGATAAAGGCCCTCCAGTTGAGATTGGAGAGGATAAAATTGCCGCTGAAACCAAGTCCGAGCATGCTTTCGCTGACCAGTTTCTAGCCTCTTCGCCCGTACAGGCAGTGGATGTGGAGGGTCGGTCGTCCAGTGGTAAAAAGGTACATGTACACACCGTTGCTTTTGGTTACATCTTTATTGTGGGGGTGTCTAACAAGTATTGCATGTTTTGTAGTCGACACCGGGAACGCCAAGGGCGGCGTCTGTGTTGACTTCGCCCCCGAGGGTAGATGAAAAATCTCCAGGAACAGTAATTGGTTCCGTCCTGAAAAATCTTGAGGAGACTGCAGAGAGACAGGTAATTGGCGTCGAAATTTATTGATCCCCAAATAATGATTTTTTGGATGTGTTTAAATAGATTAATGTACAGGTCCAGCAGATGGATATGTCTAGTTTGCCAGGCCGTGCGGGTACGAATGTTGATACAGTCTGTATTAGTGATTGTTCAGTTGTGTCAGAATCGACTAGGCACAAGCCTACGGAAGTGGAAAGAGAGCTTGCACTGACATTGCTAGCGAATCAAAGCAGAGCACCAGTCAGTGTCCTTCCCACATTGGACGTTGACATATGGAAGCCATTCGAGCGAACACTTGGTTCGTGTGGCTCTGTGTAATATACGCAACCTGATTCTGCGATTTCCATCGTCATTATATATTGAAATTTTTTTCATCCCAACCAATTACTTGGAATGTTAAAAACGCAGGAAACACCTTACGCGTGTGGGGATCGAGATCAACAACAACTTCTTGCTTGATCTGGCGAAACCTAAGAACTGGGTAAACACAAAGGTATATCGTCCGATATTGTGATTTATACGTGCATCAAATTTCGAAACAGAAAATTCGACATGTTTTGAGAATGAACGTTTTCACTCATAGTTTGTTAATAGTTAATATGTCAGATTCATCCCATTTTCGAGTCGTCCATGATATGTCGTCCATCTTTTGTCCTCTGTATATTGCCATCCACACATGTTGTCCAATTTTTTTCTTCCACGTTTCGTGCGTATTTTGTCATCCACATTCGTGCATCCATATTTTATCATCCACATTCTGCATCCATATTTTGTCATCCACATTCGTGCATCTATATTTTGTCATCCATATTTTGTGACCATTAATTAGTCGTCGCCGTTGGTTGTAACCATCCATAGTTAGTAAATCTTCCGCAGTTCATCGACAATATTTTGTATTATCCAGTAATTAGGAACTAACTCTAGATTTTGAATGCAGCACATTAAATTGCTGATGTCGTTTTTGGGGGAGAAACATGCTGAGCTTCTTGAGAAGGAACGTGCTTGCTTTGCTGCGCCTTGGCTAATGGACACGATCGACATTAAGCACCGATCATGGAAATCCGCAAGAAACAAGAACGCTTACAGGTGGGATGACAGGCTCCGACATTTCGTGGCAGCTCCAAGAAAAACTTGGATCGCCGATGTGGACACTGTGTACGTGCCAATGATATGGCTGTTGAAGCATTGGGTGGGCCTTGTGATTGACCTGAAGATGCAATGAGTGCATATACTTGACCCAGATCCCTCGTGGAAAGATGACAAGCATGTTGATAAAATCATAGGTCTCGTACTTGAGTTCCTGCCGCATATCATCCGCAACCTTTGCCCATCGTACCCTTCTCAACCCGCAGTTCCAGCGCCGTTTACGTGGCATAGGGCACGGGATGTGTATGTCAACAAGAGAAGTGGGGACTGCGGTCCGGTTGCAATGAAGTTTATGGAAATGCACGGTCTTGGGGACCCCGCGCCGCATATGAGTAGAATAACAGACGAGATGGTTGATGATTTTCGGAAGCAATACGCTATGGATCTGTACAAGGAGTTGGTGCTTCCGCTGTACAAAGAAGGTAGTGTTGGCGAAAGGGGGAAATGTTGTATGTGTTTGTGTATTTTGTAAGACAATGATTTGATGGGGCATGTGGCTGCCTATTAGGAACTTAAAGGCCAGTAATTTTTTGTTAACTCGACAGTCTTAGGCCGTCGATGGTTAGTAGTGGTCAGGGGTGTAGGTACTGTTTTGATGAACTTATGTGTTATATTTTTTTGTTCACGGCCAGTACCATTGGTCGTGAGTTGTTGTAGAAGGCAAAAGAAAAAGCTGATTGTAATGTTAACTTAATTAAGTTAGGAGTTGTTGCTATTTTCCTTTTGTTTATTTTGTGTAATTTTTTTGATGATATACTCTGTAATAAGGGTAATGTGGATGCAGTTAGTAGATGAGATAGTTGTGGACTCTTAATTGTAGGAGCGATATCGTCGACCATCCACTATGATAATGTGGGTGCGACAATGTGGATTCGACCATGTGGATGCGGCTTTGTTGATGCGACCATGTGGATGTGGCCATGTTAGTTGATGGAAAGCAGACGATGGATGTTAGGACATGGATAGAAGACGATGGATGTTGTATAGTGGACATGTGATTGACGTGACGATAAATTGGTGGATGAGCGTATGAACGTGAAATTATCGCGACGATTAATTTGGTGAATAATTGTACAACATAAACAGACACATAATTGGGGACATTGCCTACTACGAAATTGTGGACAAGTAAAGATGGATGGATAAAGAAAGATGTAAATATTATTCACCGCTCAATTATAATGGATAGTACATACATCTCGTCGGATCGAATTGGGGGTCGTTGATCCTGCTTACTTGGTGAACCATCCGATTAACCCTCCAAAAAATACGGATAAAACAGCTACCATTAACAATGTTGGGTCGTTGATGTGCTTTGAAAATTTTCGATTTCAAAGAAAAATGAAGAGGGTTTGTCCGGGCTTTGAGAACTTCTATCTCATTGAGTACCTTGTCAAGATTGCTGCGCATTTTTTCAACTTGTAGTGAATCTGATATGAAAACCTTGATCTGGTCCGCTGCTTGGATTTCAGTGCGTTTACTTGCAGACAGCACCGCAGTGGCGAACTTCAGATCATTGATCTCCTTGTTTATAGCTTCGTCCCACAACTTCCACATATGGCAACCACCATCCTGACATATCGGGTGTTCAGGTTTGACATGCGCGTGATAGATGTGGAATTGACGGAGATTTATTGGCTTACCGCAAAGTTTAGGCATGAATAGTATCTCCTGTTGGGATTCGTTATAGTATGATCCGTTTGAATTAGGACCCGACCTCCACAGAAGCACCGAGATGGTATGCCATGGTAGCTGTGACGGCGACCGCTTGAGCTAATACTAGTCCTGGATGAGGAACTAAGAGCGTAACTGAAAGGCATCGTTGCGAGCAACGTTGTACTGAGGACAACAACTAAAAAGGTTGGATTTTGCAAAAACGAAAGATGTAATGAGCAGGTACCCTTGTATGGAATGACGAATTTTATGGCGGCGAGGAGAAGAAGATGAAAATTGGTAGGCTCTTGATATGAAGTCCTAGTTGTCTAAATGTGGAACGCACCGTTTGAACTTTTCAAGGAAGACAGTGTTGTCGCTCTGACTTGGGTGGATCAATGTGGATGGGGCGGTATGGATGGTGCAGGGAAGATGGCTCGGTATTGATGGCCGGTGTGGATGGGTCCTATGGATGCGGAGATATGGATGACGTGGTAAGGATGGTTGTTGTTATGGACGGGATATGGATGGGATGCCGCTTTTGGCGAACCTTTATGAGATTGTTTGTAAGTTGTATGGGTGTGGTTATGTGGGCAGTGTGAAAATTTAAGGCAAAATGATGACCCTGGTGAAAGGGAATATTAACACAATTACGAATGTGTTGAAAACAAAGTGACAACAAATGCTTAAAGATGTAAGTAACAAACTAAATCTTTAGGGTAGTTACTAATTCGTTTGCATAACACACATACCCGATGGATGTTGAGTAGTGGACATTTAAATATGCCTCACAATCAAAATAAGATAAGTCAAAACAGACGGGATGCGACAAAAAGAGTAGGAAAAGAGACGATAGTTTTCGGGGTATCCTTCAACAAGGTAGTCGGTGGATACAAGCAAAACCAAGCTCATAGTGGGTTGGTACATCTGGTGCGATTATGGCCCGATTGTTGGCAACATCCACACTTATTCGGCACAGCTTTCTTGTTCCTCGCGGCCTACAAAATAGGAAACACAAAAAAGATTGCAATCCCGTCTATGTCTTGGCATCCATAAATAACTGTACAAAGGGGATGTTCAAATATAGTGGACGGACTTACTGGGAACTCTCCCGTGAATGCGTGACGGTTTACTTTGGGTCTGCCAGAAGGTCTTCTGGTTCTCGGCAGCATTAATAACATCTTGGCGATGGAGGCCGGGATTTCTTGGTCTGCGGCTTCGCCTGCGGGGATGATAGTGCCAGTGTATGTGGCAGCCTATGTGGCCGTTTTTAACGCATCACCAACCAACGAAGTGGGAGACAATCCAAAAGTGTCTGCGGCCAGTAACGTGTGACCGCAGGGGATCTTGAGGCAATCGAATTTCTTACACGAGCATCGCTTCTCGTGCAACCAAACATGGTTGGTGTCCCCAAAACGGCCAACAACTTGACAGCTCCAGCTGGATACAGCGTTGATCTTGCTGCCTTTTGACGCTTTCATCTGCTCCGTTATTACCTTGTCCACCTCAGGGGGAACGTTATCTCGATGCCTCAGTGACTTCTTCCTACGAGCAGCAAACCATTCAGTCATCATCTCCTGGATGAATTGGACGAGTTCAACACTCGGGGACTCCCTTCCCTCGATCAATGCATTGTTGAGTTGTTCCGCCGCGTTGCTAGTCATTAGATTGTACCACTGCCCCTGAAAATAAGCTCGTGACCAATGGGCGATGCCAATTTTCTCCAAGAACAGCGCGCATTCACTCTTACTGGCTTTGACCTGGTCGAAGAACTTCCTGAAATCACAGATCCTCCAAGCGAATGCTGCTTGACCAACGAGTTTCCCTAGTCCTTTGCTGTGGAATCGGGCAGAGACGTTTCGCTCCAGGTGAACTATACAGGCACCGTGTTTTGCTAGAGGGTAGACCCGTGACTTGACTTTGTATATCGACTAATGTCTATCCGATATTATTATGAGATTGGGAGTGTCGGCCAGAAAGTTTTCCAGATTTTGAAGGAACCATGTCCAAGACTCGTCGTTCTCGGAATCTACAACCCCAAACGCAAGAGGGAAGACCTGGAAATTAGCGTCTTGGCCACATGCGGTCAGAAGAACTCCCTTAAATTTGCCTGTCAGATGAGTCCCGTCTATGACGACGACATGCCTGAGTTTACGAAAACCAGAAATAGAGGCGCCAAAAGCGAGAAAAAGATAGTGGAAGCGCTCGACTTCAAACTCATCAACTACTGTCTTCAAATTCACCACTGAGCCCGGATTCGCCAATTTTAGCATATATAGATACTTTGGAAGGGCAGTATTGGACGCATCATCAGAACCCCTGATTTCGGTGATGGCTATTTCCTTGGCGCGGTGACATTTCATGTAGGAAGCAGAGCAACAAGCTCTTCGAGCACCAGTCTCTGAATCTCCGATGCTCGGGGTCCATTAGCAGGATCGCCGAATTTGGCTTTGAAAACTGCAGCTATAACTCTTGATGAAACCTTTTTCTTAAAGGCATTTCGAGTGTCCACGCAACAGGTGTGTTCCAGCTGGGCCTTCCTGATTTCGTAGTATCCACAGTCTTTTATCTCGTGGGCTATAACCCTCCAATCGCACCGTTCGTCCACGCACTTGACAACAAAATAGTGTCTTTTTGTGGGGTATTGTGTAAACTGAAACTGGCCCTTGATTGCATACAAGGCGAGGGCAATCCTACAGTCCGATTTGCTAGCATAGATCTTACCTTCATGGACTTCTGATTGGCCGTCCCCCGCACCTAAATCAGGGATTTCTGCAGAGTGGTAAGCTGTGTCGTCAAACATAGGCAGAATATCGAACTCGTCATCATCCACATCCTTTAACGTTTTTGGACGTCCAACTGGTCTGCCATCCACAACTTTCGGGACACCATAGCCCATCCACATGGATCCATTGATGACGGTCTCAACCTTTGGATAAGCATCGACGTGGGTGCCCTCGGGTATGACTTTGTGGTCGAAAGCATCATTTGTTGTACAGAAGTACTCTCCCTTCATGTCGTTCTCAATTTTCTTCCCATTAAGATCATCGCGCTCTGGACAGAGTACGTTGAAGGCATCGGTTCCGGTAAGCGGGTCGTCGATGATGTGCTTCCAAAACTCTTTGTCGTAGCCAGCTTCACGAACTTCAACATCAGATGGAACCTCACGGCAATTTTCTTCTGAGTCTGATAGTATTGTCTCTTCGCTGCTGCAACGGCTCTGTTTACGGATGCTGCCCTCTGCCCACTTAGCCTCCGCTTCCTGGACGTGGCTAAGAATATCTTCATCTTTGCAGTATACAGGCAGGTTCTTCGACCCAACAGATGAACCGTAACTACCGAACTCTTCGAAACCAGAACCACTCCTTGTTGGCTCATTGAGAGTTTGGAAGACATTTCGCCTCTTCTTCGGTTGAGCTGGTGTGATGTAATCGGCCTCGGAAGAGAAAGACACAAGCATATTCATTCTCCTGTCTGCGCAGAGGTGTTTGAAAAAGAAGCTTATGGCCCCTGTATTTGTAACCAGCACCGGCGGTGTAGTTTTTCCGGTCGCCAGCTCCATGCTGTTTAGTGGCCAGTAACTGAGGGAAGGGGAAACGGCGACGACTCCCTCACCGTAAAATTCTCTAAGAACCCTCTCTTTTAACTCAACTAAATCCATATGCTCACTCATTTGGACTACTCTCGAGATCATCTGCTTGTCAATAACGAAATCCCACTTACCGTCATCTCCACAGATCCATTCGCCGCACATGACCAAGCAATGTTCGTCCATCTGGATGGAATTTTTGGGAAGGAAAAACTGAGAGGCGAGGGTTTTTGGGGGTACATTTACGAGGCCGCGCCAAAGAATGGCCGTTTACCCTAGCCACGGCACGAATGCCCATGGCACGAAAATCTATCAAGGAGACCGCCACCGTCGGATGAAGTTCAAATTTTTCAAAAAAGGGGGATCGGGTGGACGAGATTTGTAGTTACCCAAAATAGCCTACTGACCGCGGGATATTAGGCTGCATTGGCTATCAAAGATTGGTTTTTTTATGGATGCATTTAGCTTTGAAAATAGTCTACTGACCGCGGGTTATTAAGATGCATTTGACAAATTTATTTTGAAACTTTGAAATTTGAACCAAGCTCGAAGTCTGCAGGATGAGTTTGTATATGGATGGGGGAGAATGGACGCGATGAAGTGGATGACACGAATATGGACTTTGGGCAATTAGTGCATAACTATAGTTGACTAAAATGGAATCTAAAATGTACATGATGAGGCGGCGTCTCGTGTAATAGTGTGCTAATTGATTGACTTTATATTCTAGTTTTGTTTTAAGAAAAAATCATTTTTCATCCATTGTTGTATATCCACAGGGTTATGTCCATGGTAGTAAATCATCCATGTTGAGTCATCCCCTTTCAAGCATTCATACGCTCCCGTCCAATAAGTGCCATCTTTGCGAGTTGTGATTTGGTACCGTATTGAGTTATCCATGTCTTGTCGTCCATTGCGTGATATCCATGATTGCAACCATTGTAGACATCGCTGTTATACTCATGCAGTTGACTCTTTGTAAAATTTGGTGCCGGTGGGATTATATATCAGGCGAATGCCATCGACGGCAATCTGTGGCGATCAATATGTGAAGTACCAAATCATACACATACAAGCAAAGAGATATGACTTGTCGAAATTAGATAGGGTGGAATGTGATCTAGATCTCGAAGAAAGAGGTTGACGGCGGCATCTAGAACTCTAAGGTCGATGAGTGTGTGACCGTCGTCGAAGAAGGGAGTTGACGGTGGCATCTAGATCTCGAAGATGGATGAGTGTGTGAAAACCGTCGAAGAAGGAGGTTGCCGGCGTTGTCGTCGATGAAGGAGATTGCCGGCGTTGTCGTCAAAGAAGGAGGCTGACGGCAATTCTTCAGACTGAGCGATTTACCCCAATTATCGTGACTGAGGGAGTAAAAAAAAAGTTCTAATCGATTGAGATGAAAAAAAAAAAAAAAAGTTAAAGGTAATATAGGAAAATCAAATAGATTAATTCAAAGGAGAAACAAAGCAAAGCAAAGTACTCTAGTTGACAAAAATATTTTTTTCTGATATTATAGTTCTTATAAATGTTCTATTATATGTAATATTTTCTTAATAAAAGCATGCGTTGTTTCTCATTCCCATTTTTTCCTAGTACTATTTTCCATTTGTTGATAGCAATTAGCAACTTAACAAATTATCATTTATCCAAAATATTTTGTTTCTGTCCATTTCACAAGTTCAGCTAGTCCAACTTTTTGTTGGGAACGAAAAGGTGATCAGCTCAAACAAAAAATATTGTGGTCCGTTGACTAAAAAATATATACTAAACAAAATGAAGAAAAAAAGAAGAAGTTATTCGAGCATGGGATATATCAGCGAATTGATACGAATTATATAGGAACCTATAATGCAATTTGGTAGACTCGAATTTATCGAATAATATAATTTTGAGGATTTTTTTGAACTGACAAACTGGAAACTTAATAGACTTTAGAATTTATAGATTCGAAAAATAGAAACTTTACAAGTAGATGATTTCTTTATGTTTATATTTCGTTTATAACTAAAAATTTTGGTAGACTGCCCAATTTCTAATATATAGTTTAGTCAGTTGGGCAGCTTTTTTGCTTTAGCTTCGGTTAGATAGCTTAAGATATCAAGTTGGATGTTTGCGAACAATATTATAAAAGAATAATTATGCATGTTCTTATCGGTGGGCATGAGGCATCAAATTTCATATATTTCCTGTAAATAATAAAACAGTTAATTAAGAAAAATCAAGAACTATATTGTTCAAAAAAAAATCAAGAACTGATTAATCTAGACTGTATGTTTCCTCTCTGTTTTAATGTTTCTTAAAGTAGATTAATATTTTAAATCATATTTTAATACTCAAATTTACAATTACCGTATGTAAAACATAATTTAACATGCAAACTATATTTTAACGCATTGTTGATTTTATTATTATCATTACCATATGACCATCCGAATTCATAATAGGGGGTAAACGATATGTCGATATGTGTTCAATAGTCTTACAAACTACCAATTTTTCATTTTTAAACCCACCTAAGTTTTATTTTTTAATACATATATATATATATATATATATATATATAATAGATACATTGATGGCCATCCATCTCAATAAGAAACAAAGGTTCTATTCGGTCGAGGACCATCCAAAATATTCTTCTATATACAATCAAATCTAGATAAATATCACTCATATTATGCGGCTGACCTGCATGCATGTGTACGCATCCACTAGTTTAAAAGATATGCTCCTCTTTATAAACTACTATCGTTCTACTATTAACTAGATTATAGTGGTAGTGTCCCCAATTGTCTGCCGGAATATTAAATTTATATTAAGAAAACAAACAGAATCAAGAACGGATTGATACTGCTGCGTTTTATATATTAGTAGAAATTGATATTTTTGGTACATGCTTATCATATCATATCGAAACATATTGTCCTTCTTATGTATTATGCATGTCATGCCGAAAAATATAAAAATGATAATTTTGTGTTGAAGTTCGGGGTACTTGAACCATTCATGGACATTTCATAATAAATTCTTAAATTAGTATAAAACTTTTGAGATTACGGTCATACATCTAGATGGTTTCTTTAAAATAAGATCAAATCACGTAATACTTTGAAACCAAATTTTTCTTACGTAATACTTGTAATACAATGTGAATTCGTCCAGAGAAAATCGCCGGTGCCCTTACTCAGAACAGTGTAGCGATTTAACATCCACGCTATTTAAGTATACGAACTAATACCCTAACTCTTAATAATTTGAATATAGATATTTTAACTTTATATTTTTCGGCTGAAAGTAACATTGACCATTCCCTTAGTCAACGTTCCCAACTCCATTAATGATGATGACTAAGCCGCCAACTCGGTGCATCCGTGGAACAGTAGCGAAGACGATATCATTTTGTCAGTTTATGAATTCAAATTTTTTTGCCCAAAACGACATCGTCTTGTGTTTTGGGCAATCTGAACAAACACAAACGACGACGTTTTGGGCTTCCGTTCAAAATTATAATTATCTTATTCTTTGTCTTCGTCGAGCTTAAGTTATCAAATTTGGGAAGAACAATCTTAGGATTCGAAGAGAAACTCAATGAATGGCGACTTCATCGAATAAAAACGCATCATCACGGTATTCAGATATGATTATGGTGTGAATTTGGTTGTGTGAACGCGAATTATTGGGAATTTTTTTCGAAATCGTGATTGGGAAATCATAGGAAAATTGCCAAGATTTAGTGCAAGTTGGAGTCGTGGTGTTATTTTAGGGTCTAGAGATGCCCGATGCTTGTAGGTATGGAAAATCATCCACAATAAAACATCATCAACCAATAAGAATCCAGAGAGATTATTTTATTATTATTCGATGGGATCCGAAACATGTAAGATTTTTTTGTAAGTTTAGTATGATTTGGTGTTATTGGAATAGACTTTTAAGAACAATAACTGATTTATGGTTTTATATTTTGTAAGGACAAGTACTATTTGTTCAAATGGACCAATGAGGCAATTATGGAAGAGATTGAAGCGATGAAAGAAACGTTTGTAAATGGCTTTGAGAAAGAGATAGAAGACATGAACGGCATTGTTCATGGAGTTGAAAAGAAAATGGAAGAAATGAAAACTGAGGTTGAAGGGCATGAGAAATGAGTTAGGAAATGGTAGAAGAGATCCGTTTCTTGAAGAATATGGTCATGTTTAGAGTTGTTGCGATTGCTTGTTACTATTGGTTATGAGCATAGCTCTTTGTAGGTTGATGAATTTTTGAGGGTGTTTGATGTTATTTGATGTAGAATGTTGGATTTGAGGTTCTTGTTTGAGCTGATGGATTAGTATTTTGAATGTTGGATTTTAGTTTCTTCTTTGATAGTATGTAACTTTAGGTTTGTATTTGGAATGGTATTTTGAATGTAATTCATACAAGTAAATTGAATATTGGATTAGTTTCTTGTTTGATAGTATATAACTTCGGGTTTGTATTTGAAATGGTCTTTTGAATGTTGGAACCAAATTCATACAACCAAAATGAACCAAAATGATTTGTGTTTCATACAACCAAATTCAGGAAATTAAAGAAAACGAAAAATCTAACATTTGAGTTAAAAAAGAACAAAACGGCCAAGAAAGCCGATTCAGCATCAAAATAGGGAGCTCAAAACACCAGAAAACAACCAATTTAACATAAAAATGTGGAGTTCATAACGCCAAAAACTACCCTCCTCTCTTGCATATGTAAGCCAAACCTGCATAATAAGTAAACCATCTTAAACAAACATCATCTTAATTTTGAGCAACACATATATGAATCTAAACAATTATCTTCGCATATTGTTCAACACAGATATCCAAACATCTCAAACAATTATCATCAAACAAGCATTAACACAATGTAAGAGCATTCTTAGAAAGTACCTAATCACCTCAACAATTTATAAATTCTTGAGTAGATGTTTGTGTTGGCTGAGTAAGACTTGGCCCATCATCAAGTGTCACGGATTCAGCTTCTTCTGACGTTTTTGCTTTTTTGGTGGCCTAGGCTTACATGGGACTCCATCATAAGGACATTTTAATGAGTTATATCCAGCCAGACTGTATCTGCTACAATGCATTGTGCGTCCATGTTGAGTTACTTTTTTCCCCTTCATTGGTGGCTCGTTTACACCCTTGATCCTCTTCTCTGGATTTCTTTTCCGACCCTTATGCACCTCTCTTTCTAGTGCAACAAGTCTTGTTTCTCCCCTGTTTTTTTCAGAACTTAATCCCATTGACAGGTTCAATGAAATCGATGTATTGCGTTTGCCACTTACTTGTCAAATACCAATCCAAAACAAATATTCTCTTTTGTATGTCTTCTTATTGTCGAAGACAACACGCAACACATGACGGCATGGTATCCCTGTCAAATTTCATCTCCTACACTTACATGTACTCTCCTTCATATTAACCGTGTAGCTTTGACCATTCTCACTAACTTCAAAGATGCCTGAACGCCCAGAGATTGTCCTCAGATTTTTCACTTCTTTTTCCTCTTCAGCGATCACTGAGCCAACTTTGAAACTGTGTTTACTCTTATGCTTTCCCGTTTTATTTTTTCTTACCTCAATCCGCACCATCGCTTGTCTCTTTATTGTCTACAAGCTCTGAATCAATGGCATTGAACGCGCCTTGTCAATTGCCTTGTTGTATGACTCTCATCATGATGTTGTCTTGTAGTATGCATGGCTACAATTCTCTGGGTTTCTACTCATAAAGGCGTCAAACACATCACTATCATACCTTCATCTTCTGCAAACTTGCTTCATGATCAGCCATGTTGAAACTCTTCACAACTTGCCAAAACAACCTTTTCATCCGACGCTTTTTGGGATATACTCTCTTCATATTTTATAAATATGTCTTGCACACATTCAATGTTCAAATTGTGGTAACTTTTGGTCCACATCATTAAGTAATTCTTATTTGTTAACACTAAAGTACACATTGAGTCCATGTGCAATTTTGAATCATTCTTACTTTCTGCGTATCTAATATGAGTAAATCCATCATAATTTTTAAAATCTAAATCTTTTTTAAATGTTTAATAAACTAAATCCAGCTGTCCGTGTTCTTTATCAGAACAACAGCCCAAGCAAAGAATATATTTGACTGTTTGCATTTCTTTCAATAACTGCTAAAATTTTTTTTTTTTTTCATTAGTCTTCAAAAAATACCCATCAATATCAAATATTGGTCGATAATGTTCTTTCCATGTCTTGTGCTGACCGGATCGATCCCCGTTTACTAAATTTTTAATTTTACAAAATATAAAAACAAACATTTGGTGCATAAAATCATGAATTAGTTACTCTTTCCAGAAGAAAAAAAAAATTAGTTACTCTTTCCTAAAGCTTGTCATTTCGATAACTCTCCTAATCCCCTTCGGATGAAAACTGAAAGATGATTATAGAGGACATATTAATCCTAATACACCTTTGTAGTCTGTATTTAATTAACTTGTCGTAGAAATTATTAACTTTTTCTTATAACACTAGTTAGTAGTAGTTACCTAATTTCGAATCACATAATTGAGCAATCGAAAATTTAATCACCCTATTTAGCCGTATATACCAGAGATAACGCATCCCATGATTAAATTTGCATTTAGTAGATGAATCATATATAAACTAAGCAGCAGATTAATATTTACTTTCCCAATTTTACTCATCCATGAGAAGTCAGCTTATTGAATCAAATATTCATCTAATCATACAAGTTTTCTACTAAATTGATTTTGCAGTTTCAGCGATTACACTATCGTAGATAGCTAACTTTTTAATAACTGGCCAAAACAACAGCAAAATCATATACAATCAGACAACCAAATCCAACTCAACATTGGAACAAAGTAGATTGAAGATTTTAGATGTTGTTGAAGAACTCTTGTGGGATTATGGATGGACAAAACTTCTTCGCCACAAACTTGTACTGCAAAAATAAATCAAACGATTAATTAATCAACACAAAACAACATCATTATCATTAATCTTCTTTTTACGAACAAAATAGTCAAAACTTACTTTGTGTTGACTGTACTTCTCTCTCACAGCAGGCAAAGTAGAGACATTAGCGTGACTACACAATCGTTGAAGATCCTTCACACATCCTCTCAATTCCATTGCTCTATATTGCGTATAATGCTGCAACGTTGAATTCTGATTCACCAAGAAACAACAATAAGCCCTTTTTACTACATTGATCCTTCAAGTCAAAACTGTCTAGACAAATTAAAAAAAAATACATACCCATGGTCTTCTTGTTGGGTCTAGAATGTACTTAGCCAAGAAAATGGTTGAAGCAGCCACTAGTGATGGAGAATAAGAGAGCATTGTGTACTCCAAAAGCGATAGTTCAGCAATGTAGTTGGCCATACACTCTAGCTGCATCAATGGAGCCTCATGAACCCCATGGGCAGCGCGAACAAAGCGTCTGAATATCAAGTTTTCGGATTCAAAATGGGTTAGTACACTTGAACGAAATATATATTGTAATGATGACAAGCGATGATCTTGCTAACCTTAGAAAGCATTTGATTGTTGGAGCTGTCAGTTCAAACTTCAAGAAATTCAGAACAGCAGATTCCATGTCAAGAACCTGCAGAGAGCCAAAAACAGCCAAGAGACACACAAATGCAAACGAATCAGTATTTTGATTAGTGAGTCTTGTTACTCATTTATCAACTTGTGTTAAAAAAAAAACACAAACCTCATCTTTGAGAAATGTATTATCAGTGATGTAGCAGAATTCCTCAACTTGTGGCGCACATATCTCTTCATATTTTCTGCAACATTCCAAGAATTTATCATCATAAGATTTTGACTAAAAACCAGACAGAAAGAAAAAAAAACGGATTAGGAGAATTCGTTCTTACGCTGCTATCATCATACATGCCACACCAAGCAACTGAAGTTTCTGTCTACTAATAACATTCCCAGATAGATATCTATCAATGTAATTCACTGTCAAATACAACGTCTCAGGTACAAGCCTATACTCTTCTGATACCTGCAAGAAACCGAAAAAAACTTTATCATACATTCACAAAGATTGACACAAAAGACATCAGATTTCTGAATGTTGTTAACTATAATTCACCTCAACAAGCCAATCAACTAGTATTCCGCGCATACTAGAGTTCACGTCTTTCTGAACTCTCTCCATAAAATCAACCGCTGGCCGCTTCTTCGCCTATACCATAGATTTACAGATTTTAGAACTTGCAAACATAACAAAGCTAAAACCGAAAAAGATGTAGATTTTCACCTCTGCGGCTCGGAGATGCTTATAGATATCACAAGCAAATGTTGTGCAAAGCTGAGGATCCGCGTCATTATTGTCGATGTTGACGAAGTTATCCTTCTTATTCGTTCCCATATCTGACAAAACATCTCTTCTGCAATAGTTACCTGCAATCCAAGAAATTCAGAAACACCAAACATTTTAAGAACAAAATTGATGGGAAGAGTAGAGGAAGAATCATCAGTAGTACCCGTTGTCTCTGAAGTCGGCGTTATGTAGAGATTACTCAATGCTTTCCTTTCGATCGAAACCACAGCAGAGACTTCTTGATTGTCGATATATTCAACTTGAGGGCTCTTGTAGGAATCACATGTAGATGCTGTCTCGTCCATTGAGACTGACTCGTCATCGGATTTGCTCGGAGAAGACGGCTTGTGTTCATAAGGCAAGGAAGCAACTTTGGTAGGAACTACGACGCTTGGCTTCACACTTTGTTGTTGCAGAGGTAAAACATGTACGCAAACAGGCTGTGTTGGTGCTAACTTCAATTTCGCAGACTTGTTGGAGCAATGTGTCTAGCAAACAATCAGAACCACAAGCTTAATTCGTTAAGCAAGCACGCAGATTCGGTCAAAGAAGCAATAAATCTTCAAATACAGTTAACGATTCTTCAAATCAACCAAAATTAGATCACAGAAACCACAAACGAAAGTAGTCCAAAGAAAAAAATACTCAAAACCTGAAGAACATTTTGTAAAACTACAATGTAAATTAACAGAAACTTAATTCATTAAGAATTTTGAAGTTTTCAGTGATTCGAGCAAAGAAACAGTAAATCTTCAAGTAGAGTCAACGATTCTTCAAAGCAAACAGAAACCATGAGCGAAACTAGCACAAAGAAGAAAAATCCCCCAAAACTAAGTACATTTTGATAAACTACAAAGCAAAGTTATTCCTTAAGAATTTTCAGTGATTCCAGCAAATAATGCAATAAATTCATACAACATTACAATAACCAATTCTTCAAATCAAACAAAATTGATTTTACAAACGACAGAGGAAGAAAAACAGAAGAAAAATCCCAAAAAAAAACTGAAGCAAAATTCTCTATCTAATTGAGTAAATTGTAAGATAGAGAATGAAGAACTCACCAAGTCAGAGGATGAATTTGCGATTCGTGAACTGTTCTTTTGATTGGTGATGTTCCCAAGTGGGGCGCGTTTCTTCGTCAAACGCGGATCCGCCGTAACCGCCATGGCAGAGGTCGGTTTCAGAGAGTTTTCCGACGAAGAAGACGGTCCGTGACGCTTTGCTATGGACGATTTTGTCGACGAGGAGAACGAAGGACGCCGATTCTGATAAGTGTTCGACATTTTTACGGTAAATCTCAAATCTCTCGGAGAATCGGTGAGAATGGATAATCTGCAAAAGGAAACTGAGTTTTAATGGCGAGAGAGAGGAAGATAGACTTTAAAAACAGAATGAACAAAGTGATTTTTTTGTTGGTTTAAATAAATAATCGCGATAATTTTTGAATTTTAGGAAACGATCCTGGCCGTTGATTTATTGGTAGATTCTGACTGGAGCGTGGACAAAATTTAAGTTTGTATGTCTGTGATTTCGGATACATCACTGACCAATTATACCTTGCCATGTCATTGCTAAGTGTTCTCGTGGTACAGAACTTTTAAATTTTGGATACTGTGTCACCGGTGTTGGGTTTCTTTTTTGAATTCGAATTTCAAACGGCGAGAAAAGAAATAAAATTCGAATTTCAAACGGTCACTTTCTTGGTGCTTCTCTTTCTTAAAACTACTCTCGGAGACATAAAAAGAAAATCACTCATTGAAATCAGGAGCTATTTTTCCTTTTCAAATTTTTTTACCACGAAAATAAACATAAGTGAGCTATGTATATATTGTTTTATTTAAATGTCAAAAACGTCAAATATAGATATAATAACTAAGGTATTTGATCTTGATGTTCCAAGTGTTGAGTAACAAGGATCTTGTGGTAATAATTATTATATATAGTAGTAATAATCATTATACATAGAAGGATGTCAACTCAATGGTGGTTCAGAAATTGTTTTCCCTGAACTATTATAAATCTTGTTATGTCGATTTAATAGTGGGGGATTTATAAAAATTCTTTTGTCGGAATCATAATTTGATTAAAATATTAATTTCGAAAAGTAATTAAATCGGGGAAAAACATTAAAAGTATACGATTTGTTTAAAATTGTGAAAGAACAATACACCAGTTATTTTGTCTACAAAAAAATACATGAACTATTTAAAAAATCTATTGTAATAGTTAAATATTCAAATTTTATTAGTTTTGCACATTTTTCGTCAATTCTGTTCACAGCGATTTTTGACTTCTGTTCAACAGTTTAACAAAGCTATTGGAATATATATAAAACCAACGAAATTTGAAAGGTAGTATATTAAACTGAGTATTTTAAATAGTTTGTGTATTTTTTTGAGTCAAAATAATTAGCAATGTTTTGAAATTCGACCCGGATCGACCGATTCGCCCGGTTAAATCGGAATCCGGTCATTTTTCGGGTCCGTTCTACTTTTAAAATCTAAAATTTACTAATCCGGTAAATTTCAGAAAAACCTGTGAGTAATCCGTGAGCAGTGACCTGTTGATCTGTTTAAACCAACAATTTCATTTTTTTATAAAAAAATATTTTTAATGTAAATAAACTCTAATTATATTATAGAGTTTTGTTATTTTGTGATTTTTAAGGTTTGTAATTTGTATCAATATTATTTTTTCAGCTATTTGTATTATGTTTTGAACAATTTATGTTATATTTTTTATATTTAATAATTTGAATAGTTTATGTTATGTTTTTTATATTTAAATATATTTAAATCTTATTTCTTATTTTTAAAACTAAATAATATATATGTAAAATTTTATTAATTAGTTAACTCGCGGTTGACTCGGATCAATTCATCATATAAACTTGGAAACCCAATGATCTGATAGACATTCCAATTTGTTTTCCGGATAAGGTTTTAAAATATTAATAATTAATGTATTTTTCTTCTAAATCATAAACAATTGATGTATTTTTAATTTTTTATACTATACTCCTAAATTATATATACTATTTTCTAAGGACAGCAACCTTTCCCAATCTGTAACCCGTCAAGTCATCCGACTTGAATCCATGTCCTGCAACTTTTCCAAGGTCTATATTTTAGATGCATTGTCATGTCCTAAGCTTTACTGTTATTCTACTCATTCAATATTGACAAACTCACACCTCACTTGGCACGTGCAAAATGCTCTCAAACATAAGTGAAAACTATTATTTTGCGATTAACTTCAATTAATTAAATAAAACGATATATTTTAATTAAAAATAAAATTAAAAAAATGTAAATAATATTAAATTCAATTTAGGAAAGTATAGGCTAAAATACTATTTATATAAAAATATATATTTTAATTAAGAAAAAAAAGTAAATAACATTAACTTCAATTTAGAAACTATAAGCTAAAACACTAATTCTAAAAGAAACAGAAAAATATTTATATATTCACATATAGGAAAATATATATCTTATTCAATTTTATATAATTGAATTTACTCCTACTTGATAAAAAGATAACCATTATTATTATTTTTAAAAAAATTTGCTTTGATATTTTTAATTTTGTAAATGAAAATTTACATGACTTATCCAATTTTATTTTCAAATCATTTTTAAGAATTTATAATTATTTTATTAATCCGCATATAATGTGAAATGACCCAAAATAATATCCTAATTTAGTATATATATAAAAGAGAAAATGCTCAAAAATGACCCAAAATAATAAAATAATGTGAAATGAGTACTCAATTGAAGGAAAATTGTGAAAATGACCCATTTTTATAATTTTTATAAATACCAGCGCTACCATTCTAACTACTTTTATTTATAGACTAATGACAGATTAACGGTAGACTGAATGCAGACTACTGGCGGACTGTTTGGTCAAATAATTGAATGTAGACTACTAGGAGACTAACATCATATTGAAAGCAAACTAGTGGATCTCTCTTATGGGTCATTTTAGAAAGAGTCATCTTTCATAATAAATTTATCAAGTGGTTTATTTCAAAAATTATCCCTATATAAAAGGGAATATAGTTTCTTCTTATGATGCCACTTCTTTAACTCCGATTTTTAAATTATGACACATTCTCAAACTAATTTTATTACTTTTAATTTTTTTATTTATTATTATTTTATTATATAAAGTTGGAAGCGTCAAAGTTAGTAATTCATATGATCGTGATACATGACGATTTTTAATCGATAAAAATTTTGAAATGCGTCTTGATTAAAAAAAGATAAAAAATAAAAAAAAAAGACAAAAAGATATATATCGATTAAAACCGGAAATAGATATATTTAAATTAAGAAAAAATTAAAAATAAAAGTAGATAAGATCAAGTTCAATTTAACAAGAGTAAAAAATGATATATATATATATATATCAATTAAGAAAAGAAAAATAAAAAGAAAAATAAAAAAGATTAAAGTTTGTAATTCACATAACTGCAATATAGAGTGTTTTAAAGCAATAATATTTTTACATGTGTCGCGATTAAAAACAATAAATACAAAAATCTGCTAAAACATATATATATATATATATCAGTTAAAAAGGAAAATAATATATTTCAATTAACAAAAAGAAAATATATAATAAATAAATAAAATTAACTTCAATTAAGAAAAATATAAGCTAAAACATTAATATTAAAAGAAACTAGAAAATATAAGTTAAAAGACTAATTTTAAAATTTTTTTATAAAATGATATGTTTCAATTAAGTTATATAATATTTAAAAAAAATAATTAGACTAACTTCAATTAATTAATAGAAGAAAAGATATAATTCAATTAAGAAAAAGAAAATTAAAACTAAATTAAATAAAATTATCTTCACTTTAGGAAAATATAAGTTAAAACACTGATCCAAAAAAAATTGAGAATATAATTCAAATAAGAAAAAGAAAAAGAAAATAAAAAGTAAATAAGATTAAATTTAATTTTAGAAAATATAAGCTAAAATACTAATCTTTAAAACAGAGAAAATATTATTGACATCTATATAAACATATAAATGTCTTCACAAAAAATGTTCATATCACTGTACGTTAGTATGCCTTTTTAAACTTATATAGTTAAATTTACTCATACTTAATAAAAAATAACTATTATTAGTAATTTTTAAAGTTTTCTTTTGATTTTTTTAATTTATTTATACTTTTTCTACATGAATTATCCGATTTTATTTCCAAGTTATTTCTACGAGTTTATAAATATCATAAATACGGATCTTAATTTAGTATTTTTTATTATTTAATCTTTTAATTCTCATAATAACTAATATTTATTAATGTAATAGATTCAAATAGAATATAAAAATTATTTAATTATAATAGATAATTTATATATTGATAAAAGAATTTAGTTTAATAATTTTAATTATGCTATTTTTTATAGATTTTAAAGTATATTTGTTGGGTCCATTTATACTACAGTCCATATTGAGGGGATGCATGGATACCAGGTCCTACCAAAGAGCTGACTTTCTCTCCCTAAGCCTGCCACCGACTCTCTAGCAGACTGATTCTGGACAGGTGACGTGCATAACGAGTCAGACATGCTAAACCAAGCCTCCTGCTCCCGCACCGAACAGATGAGACATGACAAATGAAACAGTGCATAAAAGAGGAGGTCGAGACCAAAAGAGAGGAAGGAAAAGAAGGGATCTAAGGACGAATCCAAGGGAGGCCTACACACGCCACCAAAATATGAAGATGAGGAGGAGAAAACCTCCGACTCCAGTCTCACCGGAGCCTCGCAAGTCAGCGGAACCAAAGGGAAACCCCCACAAGTCAGCGGAACCAAAGGGGAATCCCCACTGTCCCCCGGAGGATACGCCTATCGAGATAAGCATCCTCCTCTTTCCTGTTCGTTATTCTACTCTTGTGTGAAGAGAGTTCTCACCTCACTCTTCTCATGATCCATCTCTTATATTCCACCCTCCACCAAATATGAGATGGTGTCACGATTGCCAGACGAGACAGTCAACCCATAAACCACCTCTAAACCCACCTTCCTGAGTATAAACAGAATTTTTGTAAGATGTTTTAGAATCAAACCCAAACTAAGATAATGATGTAGTATAGTGGTGAGGGGTATCAATCCAGCCTAGGTTGATGAAAGTTACTAGGAATGCAAGAACTTTGTAAATCTAAGTCGGATTCGGGTAAATGGATGAAAAATTCTATGAAAACTAAATGCAAGTACTAAATGACAAAGAAAACTATTTTAAAATCCCCTCTGAAGGGTTAAACAACTACTATATGAACTCTAAGACTTTAAAATGCAAGACTACTAATTATTAAAAATCAAACTCTAAAAGTAGATAAAAAGAGAAATTTCTAACAACTTAGAGCAATGATTTTAAAGACTAAAAAAGCAAACTTTATAACTAAGAAATGATGAATTTGAGTTTTTAAAATGCTAAAAGAGGATTCAAGGTTGAGGATCATGTTAAGAAGGTTCAAGATTCA